GCGGGCCTCGAAACCCTGGGCCCGAGCGGTTCGGCTGGAAGCCAAGCGTAACATGCGTAACCTTGGTCACGAGCTCTCTGGGCGTGAGCGCAGGCGGCCGCTCACCCGACAGAGAATCGCTAAGCTTGGTCGTCGCATGAAGCGTGTTTATCCTCTGCAGAAGGTGGCAGGGACTCGCGTGTCCGTCCTGTGGCGCACTGGCCTGCTTCCAGGTGCTAGTCATTGCTGCGCAGTTTCTGGGACCACGGACGCCGAACTTCGGAATTTGAGAGCTGCTGCGGGGGCTTTGGTTGGCGCCAAGGGTCGTGGGGGGTCCCTGGCGGTCTACTTGACGTCTCAGTCGGATCCGTGGTGTGACCCGATTTTTGAAGCCACGATCGCCCCAGTCAAACACTACGCCCAGGTTGTTTGGATGCAGACTGTGTCCCTGGGTACTCTCGAGAGGGCCTGGAGGGCCCTGGCCGAAAAGCGGGGTCAGAAATTCTCCTGGCTCCATGCCTCGGGCCCGCTTTCGGTGGTGGCGCTGTCTCTCCCTCGTGTTGACTGGTGCATGGAGTCTTCTGTGCTGATCCGTTCCGATCAGGGAATGGTGTACTCTTTGCTACAGATTGATCCGCAGCATGTAATCAAGTTGCTTCGTGCTGGCATCCAGCGCTGGCAGATGCGTCGCGTCCAGGCTCATTTTCCTGGTTTCCCCGCGGACGCCGGGTTGTGGCCCCGTGGGATCCGCGCCTGTGCTGGGTCCAAGTGGGCCGCGCTCAAAAACCCCAGGTCGGCTGGGATCCTTCGGTCTCTCGGGTCTGACTCCTGGTGGCCCCAGGCCAAGTTGCATGACAAAGGGCTCGCCCCCGATCCTAAGTGTAGGGGCTGCGGGGCGGACAGAGAGACGTGTGGTCACCTGTTGCTCGAGTGCCCTGTGCTGCGTGAGCAGCTGTTGGAATTTGAAGATGAAGTTCCGATTTCTGAGTCCCTGGCCAAAACTCGTGATAGGTTTCTGGGCCAGGGGCCTGTTGGGCGCCCAGGGGCCGCTCTGGACCCTGAGAGTTTTGAGTTGTCGGTTGGGCTCCCGTTGCTCCCGATGAGACCTCCTGACCCTCCGCGTGACCCGCCGATTGTTTGGTGGGGGGATTGGGAATCTGATCCCTCGCAGTGGTCCAATGCTGCATTCACGGACGGGTCGGGCACGTGGTCGTCTCAACCAGAGATTAGGGCGTGTGGCTGGGGCGTTGTCCAGCTGAGCGCGTCGGGCACGCCACTAAGAGCGTGCTATGGCAGGCTCGGAGGCGCCAGTCAGACGGTTGGCGAGGCCGAGCGGGTCGCCTATTTGCGGGCGGTGGAAACATCCCGTCGCTGCAGGTCATAGTCACTGATCTTTTGGGCCTGGCCAATGAAGCTCAGGAGTGGAGTGCGGAGTCTGAAGGTCCAGGGGCTGAGCATGCCGCTGTGCGGCGGCAAATTCGCGCGGCGGTCGTGCGTCGCGGAGGGGTCCCGCCCACCACTCATTGGTGTCCTGCCCATAGGGACCTGTCGGATGCGGCCCTGGCGACCCCATGGATCTGGTCCGCCGTTTTTGTTCGTCCTGGGAAATGCCTGGGTTGATTTCTTTGCCAAGGCTGGTGCTGCCAGCCAGATGGTTGGACAGGGCACGGCTGATCTGTTTCGGATCGCGCTCAAGGAGTGCCAGGAGTTCGCCAAATATCTGGCTTGGGCTGGGGGTCGGGCCATTGATCTGGGGATTGGGGCGTCGTCGTTGTCGGAGGGAGCTGCTCGCTCTCGTCCGAGGCCTGGCCCCCGCCCAACCCCCGTTGAAATTTTAGAGCCTGGTGAGCCCCTCTCGTGCCACAGCATGTATAGGAGCGACGCCGCCCAGGAATGGAGATGCAGGCGGTGTGGAGTCGCCACCAGGACTACAGCTGGTCTCCGCGCCCTCAGGCCCTGCTCGGCGCGCTGCACGCCGACCGAGGTGCAGCGCTGGCAGGCCGCCCGTGCTTTCTCTCGCTGCTCCGATTGGAGGCCGACCTCCGATGCGGTCCACGTCGCCCTGGAGGCGGCGGCAAGGGTCCTTGAGACGGGCCCCACCTGGGCGCCGAGCTCTGGGGAGGGCTCTGGGGCTCGGCGTTTTGCCGACTTGGCCCTGTTCCGCGACCTCGGCCATCGGATGGCTGAGGCGGGTGCGTACGTCTTCTGCGAGCGGCGTGCGTGCTTCGCTGGGGAGTCTGGGAGGGTGCTTGGTCTCAAAGCCCCTTGTCAGGGACCGTCGGAGGTCCCCAAGACTCTCAGCGCTCAGAAGACCCGCCTCCAGAGGTTGAGGAGTGGGCTGCCGCCTAGATAGCGGCTGAGGGTCCTGGGTCCTGGCTGATACCGATCTGGGGCCCTCGAGTTTTTGTTTATTTATTCGATGTAGAGTGGGTTCGGGCGACTTGGACTCTCCTTCTACTGGCGCTCCTCCTCCTCCTCCTCCTCCTCCTCCTCCTCCTCCTCCTCCCTCTCCTACCCACGGCAGTGGTGGTGGAAAATCGGTAGATGAGAGGGGCGACCCTGACCGCGGAAGCCCTCCCTGCAGGACAAGGGACTCCCGCCTTGGAAGGGGGGGAGAGCATGCTACGCATGGAATGAAGTTAGTAATAAGATGAACGATGAGGCTATGATGTCTCTTTTGACTTTGAGCCAGCTATGATGCCCGCTCGTGCCCACCCCGCCCCGTCTTCAGGGACTTCGCATCCCCCTATGATGGTGGGGCGAGAAGGCGGGCCGCCTCCCCCGGCACTGCACGTACCGTGCCAGGTTCGTGGGGATGTGCCCCCCGCGGCCCCTCTGATGGAAGCTGTGGAGGGTGTGAGGCCTCATGGCAGTCCTCACTGGTAAGGCCTAAGATGGTATTCGCCCGTGGGGCAAATATGTTCACCTGAGAAGAGCAGCGGGAAACTACAACCATCGTCTCAAGCCAAACACGAAGTAACCCACTATCGAAAGGAGCGGGCGGTCCACAGGCGGGGAGTCACACCGCACCCGGCGCCACCTCGCGGCGTCACGCCCGCGTCGAACACCTCGCTCCTATTCCCCTGGGAAGCCCTTGTAAGAGGCAGCACCCACCGGACGCACCCCCCGCACTCGTGTTGCTGCGTCCACTCGCACTGGTAATCACAGTCGTGGTGGTCGCCGTCGTCGCTGATGTCGTCGGTGTGAGGTTCGCGGGGATTCGTCCCCCGCGGCCCCTATGATGAAAGCTGCGGAGGGTGTGAGGCCTCATGTAGGTCCTCATTGGCAAGGCATTGAACGCGAAGGCTTGTGATGGTCCATCTTCCCAAAACGAGCCTTTTTCTGGCGGCCTCGTACTGGGTGCGAGGTCCCTGTGATGGCCCCTCTGGTTGGCTATGGTGGTGGCACTGGTCGACCAGCAGGGGACCGAGGTCCGTTCACGGGCCACTAGGGGAGAGCATGCTACGCATAGCACGAGTTCAATGAGAAGATGCACGAGTTCACGGCTCTGATGTCCGCTCGTGTGGCCTCGGCGTGAAAGGCCTGCAGCTCCAAGGTCACCCGCCCCGGCTTCTTCCCTCCCTTCCAGTACCCGTCGGTCGTTGAAAAATGGTTTGTTTGGGTTTTCGCACCCCAATCTACCTGACTGGCCTTCCTACTGCAAAGATCGAGTGGTTTCACCTTTCCCTTCCTCTTCAATGGGCGGGCGGAAGCCCAATCTACTTCCAACGCCTTCCTGCTTCGTGTCTCTACCTGCTTCTTCCGACCGACGGGTGTTGAACACCCCATCCCCTTGGGCAGTCGGCGTTGCTGCCGCTGTTGGTGGCCGTTGGCATTGCTGCCGCCGCAGTTGGGCGTTGGCTGCGCGGCGGTGGAGTCCCAGGGCGACGGGCGCCCTTCCTTCCTTTCTTCCTTCGTTCCTTCCTTCCTTCCTTTCTTCCTTCATTCCTTCCTTCCCTTCCTTCCTCCTCCTCCTCCCTCCTTCTTCCCTCCTCCTCCTCCTCCTCCTCCTCCTCCTCCTCCTGCCTCCTCCTCCCTCCCTCCTTCCTCCTCCTCTCCTCCTCCTCCTCCCTACTCCTCCTCCTCTCCTCCTCCTCCTCCTCCTCCTCTCCTCCCTCCTCCTCCTCCTCCTCGCCCTCCTCTCCCCTCCTCCCTCCCTCCCTCCCTCCTCCCTCCCCTCCCTCCTCCCTCCCTCCCTCCCTCCCTCCCTCCCTCCGTCCCTCCCTCTCCCTTCCTCCCTCTCCCTCCCTCTCCTCCTCCTCCCCTCTCCTCCTCCTCCTCCTCCTCCTCCTCCTCCTCCTCCTCCTCTCATCCTCCTTCCTCCCCTCTCTCCTCTCCTCCCGTCCTCCTCCTCCTCCTCCTCCTCCTCCTCCTCGCGGCCCGTGGCCCGTGGAGCCCCAGGGCGACGGAGGTCCGACGGGCACCCCGCCCTGGCCTGCCACAGGGGTCGGGCCTCCGGCCACCCCCGCTGGTCGGTGCTTGAGCCTCCAAGCTGCGCCGTCGCCGTGGCGCCGCTCTGCGACCTCCTGGGGCCCGTGGGCCCCAGTGGTGGGGAGAGGAGGCAGCAGGGAGGAGGGAAGGAGGGAAAGAGGGAGGAGGGAGGAGGGAGGAGGGAGGCGGGAGGAGGTCGAGGGCGGCGGGAGGAGGAGGAGGAGGAGGAGGAGGAGGAGGAGGAGGAGGAGAGGAGGAGGAGGACGAGGAGGAGGACGAGGAGGAGGAGGAGGAGGAGGAGGAGGAGGAGGAGGAGGAGGGGAGGAGGAGGAGGAGAGGAGTAGGAGAGGAGGAGAGGAGGAGAGGAGGAGAGAGGAGAGGAGAAGAGAGGAGGAGAGGAGGAGGAGGAGGAGGAGAGGAGGAGGAGGAGGAGAGGAGGAGGAGGAGGGAGGAGGACGAGGAGGAGAGAGGGAGGAGGAGGAGGAGGAGGAGGAGGGAGGAGGAGGAGGAGGAGGGGAGGAGGACCTGGGAAGGGGGCAGAAGGGAGAGGGGAGGGACGGACCTGGAGAAGGGGGAGGACTGCAGCCGAGGCTGGCGGGGCCGAAGCTGAAGCACATCCGGCGGATGGACGACTGGGGCCGGGCGCGCAGCGCTCCCAGGAGGCGCGCCCAGGCCCTGTTCGCCGCCGCCGCCGTCGTCGTGTGTCTTGGTGGTCGTACATCGTCGTCGTCCTCGTCGTCGGCGGCGGCGGCGTCGGCGGCGGCGTCGGCGGAGGCGGCGGCGGCGTCGGCGTCGGCGTCGTCGTCGTCGGCCACATCGCGCCCAGAGGGGGTGGGGGGGCATGGGCGAGGGCGGGGCTTGGGGGGGCGGAAGAAAAGAAAAGCAGCAAGATGAGGAAGAGGACGGAGAGGAGGAGGAGGAGGAGGAGGAGGAGGAGGAGGAGGAGGAGGAGGAAGAGGAGGAGGAGGAGGGAGGAGGAGAAGGAGGAGGAGGAGGAGGGGGAGGAGGAGGAGGAGGAATTGAAGTAATTACAGCTTTCGCGTAACGAAAATAGAAAAAACACTGCTCAAGCCACTGATCGAGGCTCAGATCACGTGCACTTTGGAGACTCGTCACGTCGAATCCCATCGAGGTACTCGCGACGAGTTTGGGAAATGGGTAACTTACAAGCGGTACCTAATCCCCCAAGCTGCGATTGTCCGAAGTAACCTCACACATGGCAGCACCATGTTCCTAACGAGTGGTGGCACATGAAGGCGTAAGAGGGGTGGGCCCAACCTCCAGCGATCTGCATAAGACACCCTCTTTGAACACGAGGAACCCTACCGTCCATGGAAATCAAGGCAACGCACTCACTTGTTAGCCATTCGGACACGGTGGCTAGCGTGGCGGACACGCGGCACACCGAGCAGGACTTACCATTGTCGGCATGGGTGTGTGCAAAGAGAGGATCAGGAGGGGAAACACACAGACACAATTAATCGTCGATTCCCGGGAAAATATGGGAACACATGGGAAGTGGGGGGAAGACAAAAGCCTTGAAATATGAGAAAATAATTGGACTCCTGTTATTTGTATATGTGTGTATATATATGTTTGTATGTGTCCCAGGGCCCCTTCAGATAAACGGTGTAGGAGGAGAGGGAGGAGGCCGAGGACACGGAGGGCGGGAGAAACCACTGTTACTCTCAGCGGCCTGAGAGGTTGCACGTGCTGCGCGGTTCGCTGAAGCTGTGGCGGCCTCCTTCTCGGCGTCGCACCGAATAGAGCACAGCCTTGCACGGAGCAAACGTCTACGAACGTGCAGGGCTTTCTTCAGGAGGGAAAACACACAGACGCAATCCATCGCCGATCCCCCGGAAAATGCGGGAACATATAGAACGTGGGAGGGCAGCCGAAAGCCGAGAAAATACGAGAACAGATTGGGAATCGTGGGTTCTGTGTGTCTTTATGTTTGTGTGTCCCTGGGCCCCTTCATGTCCTCTCCGCCAGCATGACCCCGTGTCCCTCCTCTGCCGAGGGACGCGCTGCCTCGGCTGCCGCTCCTGCCAGGTGGTCCACTGCACCGCTGCCCTGCACCAACCATCGGGAAAGGAAGAAGAAGCGACAGACACAACTCATCGTCGACTCCCAGGAGGGTAGGAGGAACTATGAGAAGTGGGTGGGGAAACGAAGATCCAGAACATGTGCGAACATGTGGGACCTCCTGGGATCTGTGTCTATTGATTGGTTGATTGGTGTGTCCGTGGCCCCCTTTTCAATCCAGCTGGGCTAGCGCCTGGTACACGCTTCTGCTGCACTCCAGTGTGAAGGAATCTGCATGACTAGGATGGCGGATGCCGGTCTACGCTGCTCCACGAGGTGCCTGCCGATTGGCCTCCACAGGCCTGCGCGACACCCCACTGGATGACGATACAGTCGGGGCCCTGAAGAAGGAACCCTTTTCGTTGGGGAGGGGCTCCGCGTTCCTTAAGTGTTTCACAGCTTGCCTCAGGCTTTCCTTATGTTTTCGACAAGAAATCGAAGGTCAACTTATGGAAAAAATGGCCTCGTTCCTTATTTTGGGTTCCTTAGGTCAAAGCCCCGACTGTAGAGTTGAGACCACCATCCTCGACATACTTCCGAACAGTCCGTGATGAAGCTCAAGACTCCAGCGGAACAGCGAATGGCGAGCCAAAAGGCCGTGAGCTAGCGGCGTTCGGGCACAGTTTGAATCCCTCCCGCCAGTGGTCCCTCGAGGAAGGCACCAACCGCCGCAAACGCACATCATGGATACCTGGGCCTCCAGAAGCATCTTCAACTGCAGACAGTGGGCACTCAGTGGTGCCATGCCCGAGACACGCTTGACCCTCGACAGGATCACCTCCAGAACACTCTTCCGCCGCACTGGGGGCGCGACACACGAGTCCACCGTGCTGGAACAATACCTCGACTCCAGGAACATGAGTACGCACCATGATTAGCAACCGCTTCTGGTTTGAGATACTCTGGCTGCTCAAACGCTTTGCCACCCCGACTACAAGCGCACAGGCAATTTCTGTGGACGTCGGACTCAGGTGCCTCAGAACACCGATCACAAGTATCGCTTGTGCCCATGCTGACTGCAAATTTACGCACATTTGTCCAAACACCTCCAACTGCTATCGTCACCATCAGTTCGGCAAGCTGCCGCCCTTTGTGCACGTGTTGGAGGCTGTCCAACCCACTGCCACATTGTAAACCTGCAGCCTCGCGCCACTGTCGCAAGGCCAATGATCCGTCGATCTCCCGAAGCAAATAATCTGCCTGATCCAACGGGCACAGGGCATCCTCAGCAAACTTCCGCGCGTGAAGCCCCTGCACATCGTCAGTAGAAAGGCCCCGCTCCGATGGAGGAATCGGGTTCCAGCCAGCCTGCAATACGCACGCCACTCTAGTCGACACTGGGCCGCGGACGCGTCGCGACCTGTGCGCCGCCCCAGGGAGCTGCCGTAGCTGCTGCAGTCTGAGGCCATACTCGATGCACTCCTGCACGCACCGGCGGCTCCGCAAGCCACCGCTGCAGCCATTGAGCCAGACGCTGCCTCGGAAAAGCAAGTCCTGGGTCAGCGTGCTGCGCGCGAGTCCCGATCGGCGTGGTGGCGCGCCGGCCTCGCCGAACTGTTCCAGAAGCTGCGCCTCTCCGCCGCCTCTGAAGCGCCACATCATTGCCACCCTTGCCAAATATATATATATATATCTATATATATATATATATATATTGTACACATGTTTGATAACCGTACGACGCAACTGCTTGTGGTCCTGCTCGTTCAATGCGCGACGTGACTTTATTCCGCCGCGCTGCCGCCACCATGCGTCGTAGTCTGTCGTGCTGCATACCTACTTTGGTATGTCGTTTGCGAGCGGTGGACCGTGTATGTCGCCCTCCACTGCCCATACCCACTCCAAGATATGCTGGTTGCAATGCCGCCGTGATATGAATGCCTCTCCGCTTGAGCACTCGAACTACCCTCTTGGCGTCGGCATGTGAGGAACATGACAGTATGTGCTTGGCTGCAAAACTGAGCGACACCTTTTTGAAACCGGTGACCGTGCCCGCGATGCCCTCAATGAGGTCTCGCTTGATCTGAGCACGAGAGCCTATGGTCTTCTGCGCGAGATCATCTACCCAGATCCGCTCCGACATCCTTGTGCGTGAAATACATAACTTTTGCAGCACAGCAATATGTTAAATATCTCCCGAACCGAACGCCCCTTCGGATCCCTTGGACGATCCCTCGCGCGCTCTGAAAGAGGCAACGGAACGGCATCAAACTGCGACGACACCCTTGGCATCGAGCACGTTTGCATTTCCAGACACAGAACTACTGGTGGGAAACGCAGTCGAAGTGCAGCGCCCGCCAGAACATGGCATGGTTTTCAATGTTGTCGTAGAAGGCTCCCATCTCAACTAATGCTTCTCCTCGCGCAATATTCATGCGTGCGCGCGCTTCAGAATTGAGATCCAGCGCAAACGCTCCTCGAAGCCCGCAGCACTGAGCAGCCCAAGCACGCATCTGATAATATCTTTCTAAGCTCCACAACCGATTTATCGCGGACATCAATCCCATGATGCGATCTCCACCAGACTTTCTACCCAAGAGCCGCCCGACTGCGGGCATGATTTGCCGCGGCCATGCCAGCCTTTCTTCGATGAGAAGGTATCGTTGGCGCAGCTGTTCCAAGCCAGCGCCGGGTAATCGCTCAAAATCTGGTGGGGACATCTGATCACCTCCTAAGCCTGCCTTCGGCTTCGCGCGCGCCCAGGCGCGCCGAAGATCTGATGCTGTAAGAGGTTCCATATGTTCGATCTGTGCCTGCTGACGGACTGTTTGCATGACCTCCAGGAAAGCCGATGCCGACAAGGTGTCGGAGCTCCACTTGCGATGCAAGAACTCTATGTTCTTGCCGCAGTCTCTATGGGGTGAGCTGCGCACTTGCCCTCAAACTGCAACTCATCAGCTTCAACTGGGTTCTGCTCGATACACTTGTGTGCGACGCCCAACTCGCCTGCGGCGCCGATTCCGTCTTGAAGCCAACGTGGCGACTGACTGATGTCCCGAGCGCGCCTTCGTTCAGCTCCTCGGTCCACAATCTTACGCGTGTCGGTCAGCTGCTGACGCGCCAGCTGCGAAAGGTCCCTCAGCTTCGCCGCGAAGTCGGTCGACGCGCAATTGCCTGGAGGATGCAGTTCGCGAGCGCCTGCAGGCGCTGTGTTGGCGAGCTTCTGGGCGATCTCGTTCAGCTGCTGGATTTGAACACTGCCGCTCTTGCGCTCGCGATGCCGTTCGACTCGTCGTGCACTTGTTAGCGCGCGTGCCCGCCTGGTGGCGCGGGCATCTCGCAGAGACCGATCACGAATGTGCTCTGCTTGGTGCACCTCGCCGATCTCCCGGCAGAGCCCGCCTGCCCGCGACCGCCGAGGCGCCGCGAGCCCACGACGTTCACCGATGCTCCTCTCAACTGCCCCCACCCAAGGCGCGCGTCGAGAACTGGCGCGAAGCGCGCCCGGCCCTGCAGCGGCGCGCGCCAAAGGCTCGCGCGCTGCAGGCCAATCGTCAGAAGAAGAGCGCGCTTGCCAACCGACTTAAACCCAATGCTCGAGCCGAACTGGCCCCGACACAACGAAGAGGGGGTGGGGGGAGCCGCGG